ACTAGGACTCCAAGATCCCTTTCCGCTTCCGTTCCACCAAGCAGGTCATTTCCTAGGCAGTAGGTATGCTGGACATTTTTCCTCCCTAGGTGCAGCACTTTGTATTTCTCCTTGTTGAATTGCAGTCTGCTGTTTTCTGCCCATATGTCCAACGTGTCCAGGTCTGCCTGTAGCTGTTCCCTGCCCTCCGGCGTGTCCACTTCTCCCCACATTTTTGTGTCATCCGCAAACTTGGACAGAGTACACTTCACTCCCTCGTCCAAGTCGCTGATGAAGACATTGAAGAGTATTGGTCCAAGGACCGAGCCCTGCGGGACCCCACTGCCCACACCCTTCCAGGTCGAAACCGACCCATCCACCACGACTCTCTGGGTGCGACCCTCTAGCCAATTCGCCACCCACCAGACTGTGTAGTCATCCAAGTCGAGGCTCACATGCAGCGTGTTAGAGCTGCACATTATGGAGCTGGAATCCCGGCCCCGGCTCTCTTTCTCAGCACACACCCAGCCACCACACCCACACACACACTGCCACTTATACCCCCTTGCTGCCCACACAAAACACACAGGAGGACTGTATTTTAAGCTATTATGTATCCACCTCTGGATGCTTTTTGTAAACACAGAAATCAGTAGAAAAATATTTTTAAATAAAATTAAAATAGGTTATAGATGCTTTATGTGTGTGTGTGTGTGTGTGTACATATATATACCGTTTTCATGGTTTCCAGATCACAGCCCCCTTACAGTACTTCCAGGGCAAGGGGAGGGAACTTCTAATGGCAAAGATCAGGTGCTAGGAGGTGGGACTTCCAGGTACCAATATGGCAACCAGGGGTAGGGCAACTGTCAAGGGGCAGGGCTACCCATGCAGCCCTCCACAGCTCCCCAAAACTTGGTGAGTGGCCCTCTGCCCAAAATAATTGCCCACCCCTGTTCTACAACATATTAGTTGCTGTGTAAGTATTGGAACAGCAGAGTAGAAGTGCTTTCTTCCTATATCACTGGTAGCCCGATTGCATCAAAACAGACTAAAATAGTACTGCAGTTTTGGATGAAAAGTAAGAGTTTGTATCTGGGGTTATGATCCCAATTTCTCCCCTTAACCTCCACTCCCTTTTTCCCCTTCTTAGGCCAGATACAGACATTCAGTTTCTATCAGAAGAAATTGATGAAGCACTGCTTGATCATCAGGCAAAGTGAGCAGCAAGTAGGATTCAATAATTTGAGATATATCTGTAAAGTCTGATTTAACTTATTACAAAAGAAGGGTTATAGCTACCGTTACAGTGATAGTAAGCAAACCACTCCCTCAATACAAGGGTATTAAGAATTATTTTTGCTTTTCTTATGGTTTTGAAGGGTGCTGCTTCCTTTCTAATATTTATTCTAAACTTTCCTCTATTAAGTTTTCAGTGTGGCTGTCTCAGCAGTAGTAGTAGTCAGTCAGTAGTGAGGATAGACCAGGAGCCAACATTTAAATCAGCACATTGCCTACACATCTTCAAAACAGGTGATTAGCCACCCCTCCCACCATTGTACTGAGTCTGATAAGGGGGGAAATTTTAGGAGTGAAGCCCTGGAAACTATAAAAAATGTAGGCAGCTGAAAATACAAGCAGTGGCTGGCAGCTTCTCTCTTTAACTGATATTATATTCAGAAAAGTTACACTATGTATGGACCTAGTTTTCAGAGGCACTGAACCCCAGCAACTCCCATTGACCTCAGCTGAAGAGTTGAAAGTATTCAGGCCCTCTAGCTAAGGTAAAAAAAAAAAATTTTTTTAATCCAGCAGCTTTTAAAAACAGGTCTGCCATCAAGGCTTCTTTTTGGGGGGTAAGTAGTATGTTTGACCTAGTAGAGGTCCAGCAGGTAGGCATGTTTCCACAAATAAAGAGAGATTATTTTTCCTGTAAATGCAATGAAATCATAGGAAACTGGAAAGATACTTGTTTTAACACCTATGGATTCAGCTCAAGGTGAACGTATTTTGCTTAATTTGTACAATTTCTTTGGTGCATCTTGAGAGCTACTCAAAAAATTACAGACAGTACTGGGGCAGTTCAGTGACAGATCTTGGAATACTATATTTTAAAAGTGTCCTTTTGTCTTAATAGGCATTCATTTTTCCCCTCTTAAGAGCAAATTATTAATTAATTTTAATTCTCAACAGATGTAGAGCAATGGAAGAGTGATCTTTAATTTTACCCCAGTACAGATACCAAAGTATTTGATAGTCTGACAGAAAAGAGGGAGAAGAATTTCCCTTCTGACACAGAGGAAAGGTAAGCAAAGAAAGGGTTTAAAAAATATACACCAGAACTGTAGAATTAGTTGAAAGAACTCAAATTGGAAAGCTGAAGATTTATTTTAGTTTAACTGAAAATTAAATGAGTTAGGAAGCATATGACAGTTTGAATCACAGGTGTGGTTCAAAGAAAGGCCTCTAGCAGACTATGAGCTCACAAAACAACAGGGGACAGGGAAGGGGAAAGGAAAGAGAAACAAGACACAAAGAACACTTCTACCCTGAATTACAATAATTAAAAAAATAAAACCAAAATAAAAAAAGCCAACCCAGTCTACTTGCACAAACAAATGCTACTTACAAACATTTAGGGGTTATATTTTAGCTGTCTGTTATGTATGCATACCGATATATTTTATGTATGCAGATTTACAAGCCCTGATATACATAGAAATTGGAGTGTTGCTAGGTATGCATCATCAAATGTTACATAACAGCCACTGTGCTGGCCCCAGCAGCCTTACCTGGGGACCTCCTGAGGCTGTCGCTGCAGTGATCCTGCCACTTGGCCAGCACCTGGAATGTGGCTCTGGCTAGCCAGGCTCTGGCTTTGAGTGGTGCACACTGCCCCCATGTGTACTGCCTCACTTTTTTGCACAAGTTTTTTGACCCAGGATCTCCTGGGGTCCAAGAAACCCCCTGCACTGCTACCTTGCAGCACAGAGAACACCTGGAGACAGGTCTGCAACACCATATACCACATGACTGCGTGTGTCTGGACACAGCCTGAGAGGCTATTTAATAGCAACCTGCAACTACCTGAAGGGGGGTTGCACAGAGGATGGAGCTGGACTGTTCTCAGCGGTGGCAGGTGAGAAAACAAGGAGCAATGGTCTCAAGTTGCAGCAAAGGAAGTTAATTTCCTAATATCCAACTCCCTCACTAGGAGGGTAGTAAATTACTGGAACGGGCTACCCAGAGAGGATTCGGAATCTGTCCTTGGAGGTTTTTAAGACACGGCTAGAAAAAGCTTCATCTGGGAAGATCTAGTTGGAGATGGTCCTGCTTTGAGCAGGAGGTTGGCTAGGGTAGTTTAAGCAGAGAGGATCTAGCCTTTAGAAAGATGTTAGGCTAATAATTCTGTTTGTTCCTTCAAGGCCTACATTTTTCTTTGATTCTAAGTATTTTGAAGGGAATCATACAATCCTTTAAAAAAGTTTTTAATCATTTACTTTGCAGCACAGTATTTGATTAGATGAAAACAGGCAAAACAATAGTGCTCTGTTGCAGTGTGTGTTCAGCAAAAAGAAAATAAAAAAGTAAAGTACAGACCTTAGAGCCATAAGCAGACCAGGATAAATATTTAACATTTTTGTTATTAACTATATTCAAGAACTACTAGTCTAACTGCTTAGATTTGCATAGCATTTCTCTAAATACAAGTTCATTTCTTAAAAACAGAATCATACAAAATATTTATTACATAAAAAATTAAAACCTGAAGTGTACCATGTCTTATAAGAATTAAGTTTTAGTTCACAGCCCTGCGTGTGGAAGAAGTTAAAGATGCAGATGAGAAGCATAGTCAGATATACTCATTATTTTATTGTTAATGCTTTTTCTCCATGACTTGGAGGCAGGTCAGATGAAAGATAGAGCATACGTAAAATATCTGGAAGTAAACAGCTTCTAGAAATTGTGTATATTGATTCGTGTTCTCCAACAGCAATAGTTTTTTTAATGCCTTCAAGCTGTGCTCTGTAAGAGACAATGCATTACACATTAGTACAGTCCAGCATCATTTCTACTCTGAGTCAACTCTCATTTGATTTGGATACACAGCCCTGAAGCAATACATAAAAGGAATACAATTTGACTCTCCACATCAGATTCTGGCTTATGTTGGAGCTTGTTCACAAAACACTTCAGAAGTGCATAGAAGTTACATAGAATCCTAAAAAGACAGCTGTAAATTCCCTTCGTTTAGTGGAAATATACAGCTTGTGAGAGCAAGTATGGCCAGTTCTACATTATGCCATTCCTCACCTCTGAGACGAGCAATTACAGGCTGCTGCAACTGCTCATAGGCCCCAAAGCAGCTTTGGATTGCTCTCTCCCACTCTATCACCCCTTCCTCTAACCTTTTACCCCAGCTTCTCTTCCAACTCATTTTCTGTCCCGCTTTCCTTAAGAGAGACATTTATAAGTCCTAGAATTGCATCCCTGAAATCAGTACTTTGAATTCCTTAAGTGAAAAGTAACTTATGAACCATATGCTTCACACTTTGTAAAGCTAGTAAAAACATAGTAATACACTCATATGAAAGCCAAAGAAAGGAAGCAAATGGGGGTCACGCTTATTGTCCAAGTTCACACAAGTCTATGACAGGGGCAAGAACTGAACCCAGTCATCCAATCCCTTTTCTTTAGCTAGTAGAATCCGAGCCTCATCATTGTACTCAATACATGAAATTCTTCCCGCCAACAGCTGACAGAGAATTATCAGTGTGAATTTGAGTCTAGCCCATCAGGGGAGTGAGATCCTAATGCAACAACAGAAATCAAGGTAAAAATATTAGAAAAAGGGGAATTCAGTCATGTGCTAGAAGATTTTCTGAGTCAGATATAAAAGAGTCAAGCCATATCTGAGTGTTTCTTGCTATGTTACGATAGGTTTAAAACATCTTGGAATTATTAAAATAAAACGTGAAAATTCTCACCCATTATTAAAAATACTGTGGTATGATGGAGGATTTTCATTTACATCCTGGTGATAAGTGGTCCTCCTGGCAGCTATGATTAGTGATTGAGTCTCAATAAAATAAGGTGGGGGTGGCAATGCCATTACAGCATTATCTAGGAAGAAAAAGAAAATACATTCAACTTAAATGTGGATCCTCCTTGTAACCTGCAAGTCTTGGCTGTGTTACAGTAACATATTTGCATATCTCCTTCATAAAAGTACATGCACAATAAATCACATATCTGAGCTATTCTAATGTTACTGGCTGCAAATACAACTCTCCCAGAATGAGCAACTTAAAACAGATTCAAATCTATCACTCGCTCACCTGCAGTAGCCTGGAATGTTTCAGGAATCTGAGGCTGTTCTTCACTTTCAGAGGATTCTTGGCAAAGATTTAAATTCTGTTTCCTTTTAGTGTAAGCTATCACAAGCAAACATAATCCAGCCAGCACCAGAAAAGGGCCCATGATTTGGAGAGAGAGAAATCCATAGCCCTGGTGGCCGACTTCAGAAGCAATGGTTTGATTAAGTTGCAGGTGCTGCCATTCTGGGCTACAGCCAGGAACCCACATGCCCAGGATACCAATTAGTATTCCACTAGTTAAAACCAAAAATCCAAAGATAAGGAGGTGGGCAGACTGACAGCTCCTTTGAGAGGAAGTTAGGCTGAGCACCTGTGCATTTTGCAACTGCCTCCGTCTCAGGTGAAACTTCTCTCTCGATCGTGCCAGCAAGGCACAAGCTAGTCCAGCTACAGCAAGAACAAGCCCAACAGCCTTCAGTCCTGCATTAGAGTCACTGAAGGTTCCAGATGGGCAGGACTGGAAAATAAAGACTAAAAGCAGAAATCCAGCACAGAGCAATACAACTCCGAAAACAAAAATGAAAAAAATAAATTTCCTACAGTGTCCCTTATTTTCTTCTCCACAAGGCACAGGAACAGCAACAGGATACATTATAAAAGCAGTCTCTTCAAGTGGACAAAAAAAAAAAAAAAAAAATCTATATTCTTTTGGTCAGTGTTCAAAATGGTAGAACCCTCAGCAGACCTGTGAACAAGAAGATAGTTATGTTTCTGTTTAGGAATAAACTGGTTGATGCAGTTACCTATGTATCTCTTTGAAGATATGTGGCTGAATAGAGACTCTCAGAAGTGAACACAAGTCATAAGAGAAAAGGTGAATCACTCACTTCATTGTCATACAAGAGAAATGCACTGCAGCTGTAATCCACCCCCCAAGTTATACAACCATACAATTAAAGGACAAGTTTAGTTGTGTACCTTTGAGGGATGTCTCCTTACAAAGAAAAGCAAAACAAAGCAAGAAAACACACCTGGTCCCATCTGCCCTATAGGCTCCCAAAGCACCTAAGGGAGGGGCAGATGGTTCTGCTCCATTTGCAGCGTGCTGGGAGGAGCAAAGCCCATTGGCAAACTCTGAGATAACAAATTAAATGGAGAAATTCAGCTAATACAAATACATTCCTTTTTGATTACTAGATTACTTATGCACTGCTATTAAGTCCAATACCACTTTTTCCTGATCCTGTACATGCTCGATTCTCTGTTAAGAATAGCTTACACAACTTAACCATGGATCATAGTGGTATAACATCTAAAACTTTCCTTGAGAAATGTTGGCTATGGACAACATGACTTGGAAAAAACTACTGCAGGACATGCTTTTGAGGAACATTTTGGCAAATTTGAATGAAAGACTGATACCTAAACTCAGACAGAGCCAGAAGTACTTTTAGTATGTCAGGAGGCGTAAGATGATGGCTCTATTACTGAAAAAAATTATGGATCGAGTCCTCCTCCACGCTGCCAAGCCATCCTTCTTCAAGGAAACTGCTACCATACAAGTATACCCTATTACATTGTTTTATGATTATTCAAGCGCCCTGCCTTTCTTTGCACGGAGGATTCTAATAGCCATGGGTCAAGTTTTGAAGTGGAGACTGAAAATATAGTGCTATGAATAACTGTAAAAAGGGAAAGTGTAACCACTTTCTTGGCATGCATTATTCAAAAAACGACAGGTGTACTAAAAACAGCTGGAAGCAAATTTACTATGCAACTTTGGGTATGTAAACACTTCACTATACTAGACTGGCCCTTGGGTACTGGAAACAGTTTAGCCACAGTAGAATTGAGCTCCACACATGACTGGTTTCCAGCAGGGGAGGTTCACCCACGCAGAGTCCCAAGGTTTAAAGCTAATTTGGGCATCTCTATGCTAGACCATGCTGTACAGCAAAAACACACTTTGTTTTGTACTAGTGAAGCACTGCTAAGGTGGTGTGATGGAATGAAGGATTCAGGCTATCTATGAAATAAAAGTTCATTCTGCCTTTGAACTTTTTCAGTTTAAAGATTTTTCCTCACCTTAGCATGTCTTGGGGACAGGAGAGAATTTATAGTTTCTACAAAAGAGAGAGATTGAGCTCAACCACTTGCCACCTTTTATCCCCCCTCCATATCTAGATCTCTGACCCTCTGTACTGAATGCCAAGAACTCTGTGCACAAGCCAAGACCCCTTCCCCCCCCCCAGCCCCTTCACCCCTCAGAATCAGTTTGCAAGTCCCTGCCCTTTCCTCACCAGCATTTTTTGTTCTGTCTGGGAAATAAGTCATGCAGAGTGTCAACCTGTTAAATTGCATTGGGAAGACAGGAAAGAGATGAGAGCAAGGTTCTGATGGCAGGTGAAAATTAATGCCATTAACTAATCCTTTGATCTGTAGACAATTGGACAGGTGCTTGAAGCTGTGTCTGCTAACCAGATGCCAGGAGCTCCCCTTGTCCTGCATTCCTCCTTCACTTCAAGTTTTCTGGTCCCCTCCTCTCTCTCGCTTCCTGCCCCCCATCCTCCCCCCACTAAACAAAAAGTTAGTGAAATTCTACCCACCAATGCCTAGAATATCCTTAGGATTTTAGACTGGACAGTATACAGTGTTCAGAAGTTACTGTTACAAAGAGAAATGCCATTAGGTTGAGAAAGGAGTTCATTCCCAAGCTCAGCTAATAACAACAATGGCTAGCTTGTGTTCACACTAAGTTGTGTCAAGCTTTCTTCTATTGAGACATTCTATGTTAGCAATCATGGTACCATGTCATTAGAATTAGGATAGAGTAGTATTAGTATTTGTCCTAATTCTCCCAATCTTGCTCTGACAAAATAAATAAATAAATAAATACATACATACATACATACATATAGCTGAAGTAAACCAAAAGTTAAAACGTATCATTCAAATCTGGAATTAAAAAAAAATAAAAATCTAGAGATTTATTTCACTGGTATACAAAATATATTGCATTCTCCTTGTACTAGGGAGATTATACCAAAACATGCATTTGAAAAGGAAGCATGTGCATATTTTCTTAATTCTTTCAGTACCACAAAAGAAGGAACATTCAGAACAGTTTGTTGTGGCTTTGAAGATGAAAGACCCATGTTCTGTGCTACAAAATCCAAAGTAACTAATTTTACTTAGGCTACCACCAAATTTTAATAGTAAAGCCAGTGCATGACTGAACTCCCTCTTTAAGAGTCCCACCAAAAGAATACTTGGAATAAAATAAGCAGCAATAAGCCCATAGCCTGACAGCATTTCCACCAGATCAGATGCCAATAGCTCCACCTATGTTTAAGTGTTTCCTTTTCATGTTCTCCTCTGGCCTGTGAGCAAGCAAGAGACATTTTCAAGCCAATAACTGTTAAAATAAAACTGGAAAAGGGTAGAAGAGGTTAGGCTAGAGGAGACATGGAAATCAAAATACAACTCAAGAAAGAAGCATGGTTACAACCTTAGCACAGACGATAGAATTAAAATGGGATAGTACCCCCAAGCCAAGCCAGGTACCTGGGAACAAGAAATAAATTCCAATTTTCTTATCATTACTTCTTGGTCAGTGAAAATGCTTTTCATTATTGCCAGCCGCAGTCACTCAAACCCAAATAATGAGATAAAAATAATAAATTTTGGATTCCGTTTGCCTTCTGATTTTTGAACATTTAGAGTTTGTATTCTCAAGCTCTCCTTTGAAACCATGAGGGGGAGAAATGCACTCTTCCCTGTGCAAGTGAAAGCCGAGATTCTCATATTGTCATACAACTTGGAAGTGTTGTCAACACTGCTATCCCTGTGTTAGATCATTCTTCCCAGATGAGGTTCCATTTCTGTCGTGGCATCTGGATGGGCAGCAGAGTCCTAGCCTGCTGATTCAATTCCAGGACCAAGGCATTGCCTTATTCAGGCTTTGAAAAAGCTTCTAATGTATTAGTAATTATGACTATAGCAGTCACTTCTAATCATTAGTCAAGAGTAACCCCAACCAAACTATGTTTCCTTGGTTTTATTTTATTTATTTATTTATTTGCTTCTCTCCCCTTCTTGCCCCCCCAGTTTTCAGGGTTTTTTTGAAGCACAGTCTGTCCCTGATTTACATGCAATTATTTTAGATCCAAAAATCTGATACTAAATCCATACAGCAAGAGCCTCCCACTGGTTGTTCCTTTTCAAATCCATCACACTCGTCAACCTAACACACCTGACTAGGAGAACTGCTGTGGTCTCCCTCCTTCTCTTCTCCCTCTAAACCAGTTCCATTTCCCTTCCTGTCCTGACCAGATCTAGTCTCCTGTTTGGCTCATGTTTTGCCTCGGTGCTGTCCCATAGTCCTTACCTGCCTATATTTTCCTCCTCCTCTTCTTTGCTCCCACTTTCTAACCATGGTGACTATGGCCTCTTCCCCAAGGAAAGCCAGGCTTTAGAGCTCCATTAAAGCAAGATGGCAACTGCTTTTACTAGAGGCAAACACCAGCTTACTATCTTGACTGAGCACCAGTTGAAAGAAGCAGGAGTTGGTGATCATTTTACCAAAAAAGCACCTTGAAAGATTTCTGTTGGACAGCAGGAGATCATGAGAAGCTTTAACATACATTAGAGGTAGAGCTGGTAATGCTACCGGTTACTCAGTGTTGTTTAATGCTTCCCATTGTTGTCAAACATTTGAGTTTTGGTTTTTGTTTGTTTGTTTTTTTAAATTATCAGGTGTTCTGCCTCCAACTCTTTCTAAGAAAAAAAAAAAAAAAAAAAAAAAAGACAAAATAACAAGCTTGGGTGCTTCCCTCCCTTAGAGCAAGGACTTGAAGTCTGACTTGTGCATCAGGGATGTGTTTTTTTTGCTGCTGCTGTGAAAAACTCTTTAACAACTTTTCTTTGGGGGAGAGGGGGCAGGAATCCCAGCTCACATATGCTCAGAGACTTGCTAGGCTTTTGTCACAGGTCTTCACAGATTTCATGCTAACATCGCCATGCTCCGGGCCCTCACCACTCCTGCACGTGACTAGACCGCACATTCCTGAAGAGCAGCTGTGCGGGCTCCAACTCCAGATTCAACAGCACAACTGGACTTTCCCTGCAACTGCAGCTCCTGGGGGCCAGGCTGGGACTAGTCACCTGACATTAGAGCAGGGAGACCTGCAGTCGCTTTTGGGCTTTCAATGCCCAATCGGTCTGGGGGAAGAAAGTGCCCAAGAAACATGAGGCATAAGGGAAGGGAAGGACTGGGGCAAGAAGCTAGGGAAAGGAGACTGATAGGTAAGCAGGGAAATTCAGGTAATGGGGCAAAGAGCCAAGGCTGAGAGCAGCAGGACAGACAGGTTGGGCAGAACCGAGAAAGAGCATACAGGTGGGAAGGGGGGAAACAGACTGGATGAAACGGCTGGGGAAGGAGGAGGCTATGAGCTGGAAGCTGGAGAAAAAGATCATCAAAATCAAACCAGGAACTGCAGGGAGGAAAATGGGAAATCAGGACATGCAGCTGGAGAGGAGGAGCCTTAAGAGGCAGACTGATCCGGTGGGCAAGGAGACGAGGACCACGAGGGTAGCAGGAGCGATGCTGGGGCTGTGACCCTTCAGAAGTGACAGGAGAGGCAAGGATTTCCTGGGGGGGAGGGGGCCTCTGACTGACTGACTCCAGCAGGAAGGCAACATCTTACAACCCACAGCTTGTCTAAGTGCGGCCCAATAACAGCCCCCCAAGAGCTGCCCTCCCTCCGGCGGGAAGTCTTCAGCTAGCGACAGGAGGCGGCCGGGCCGGGGACGAGCCCCAGCTCCCCGC